CTCTCTCTCTCTCTCTCTCTCTCTCTCTCTCTCTCTCTCTCTCTCTCCCCTTGCCACTGAAACTCACAGACGCCTTGCTGGAAATGCTTTGACACACATTCCCAAGGGAGCATTCACGGGCCTTCACAGTCTCAAAGTCCTGTAAGTAAACCAAGTATTGTCGCTTGAAGATGGTCCTGATTTTCATGTCATATGACTGCTAATTAATGTGCAAATATTGGGTGCAATTTGAATCTTTGAGTTGACTCATTTAAGACCCTCTCTGCCTTCGCTGATGTCATAAAACCATGTCATACTTGGCTATAATCTATGTGTGACAGTTCCTCTCCTCTTCACTAACGTTATTGCTGACCTACTCATATGTGCAAGAATGTCTTTCTTTCTCCATGTCATGCCGTTAGGGAGCATGTCCCTAGAGACTCCTGTCACTAATTGAATAACTCACTATGATATCAGCATGAGATCACAGCTTCAAATTTCCTCCAAATTTGCTTCTTTAGGATATACCAAGTAAGGAGCCACTCAAACACATTCAGGTTTGGGTGGATAAGTAGAAAATCTGGTGTACAACCTAGCGAAGTGGACAGCTGTTCACTAAGACATGTTGGATTAGGGCTGTAGGTCAGTGGTACATTTGTCAACTATTCCCAAAGCCCTGGGTTTTCTCCAAGAGAGAGAGTTGGGGAGCAGAAGAGAGGAAGTTTTAAATGTGTTTATACATAAATTTTCTGCACATCCATTGTCCAACTTCCAAATTTATTGTCATGAATTTTGGTCTATTGAATACTTAGTTTGGGTTATTATTGTTGTATTAAGACACCAAGACCAAAAGCAACTTGGGGAGGAAAGTTTTTATTTGGCTTACATATCCCTAATCACAGTCCTTCGAGGGAAGCCAAAGCAAGAACTCAAACTTGGCAGAAACCTGGAGGCAGGAGTTGATGCCTAAGCCATGGAGGGGTGCTGCTTACTGACTTGCTCCTCCTGGCTTGCTCAGTCTGCTTTCATCCAGCACCCAGAACCACCAGCCCAGGGATGGCACCTCCCACAATAAGCTAGGCCTCCCAAATCAATCACTGATTAAGAAAATGGCTTATGGGCTTGTCTACAGCCTGATCTTATAGAGGGATTTTCTTAACTGAAGTTCTGTCCTCTAACTTGACACTTTGTGTCAAGTTGACAAAAAAACTATCCAGCACAAATATTTTCTCCTTCTACTACTTACTACTCACAGCCAAATTCTGTTTCAGTGCCTTCTGGTTTGGAGTATCTAAGTAGAGGAAATAGTAAAAGTTTCAAGTCATTTAAGTTTTATCCACAAAACAATATCTTGATTTTATTTTTTTTCATTGAGATAAAAGTTAACTCCCAAATAACTCACTGAATTTTTTTATGCTTAATGAAAATTGCTTCAGTGGTCCAAGATATATGTAGGTTTTAAAAAGCTTAATTACATTTAATAGTTTATTAAAAATTAAATTTTATAGCAGAATCATTGTTCCCCTTAGATTACTGAGTTTGGCTTCCCTTCTATTTGGGTCATTAGTACTATTAACAGAAATATTGTAGGCCATATTGCCAACCCTAATGCTAACTTATTTTATATGTCAGCACCAGGTACAATAAACCTACATCTCAGAGAACTCAGCAAGATATTTGAACCATTCAAAATGCATCAGAAAGTTCAAATTTAAATGAGAAGACTAAAATGATTTTCTCATGTCTGTTTATATACAGTAAAATATTTGAATGAAGTTAAATAAATTATATTATATGGTCTGGAGAGACAGTACAGAGGTTAAGAGCACTGGCTACTCTTTTTTTTGTTGTTGTTTTTGTTTTTGTTTTTGTTTTTCGAGACAGGGTTTCTCTGTGTAGCCCTGGCTGTCCTGGAACTCATTCTGTAGACCAGGCTGGCCTTGAACTCAGAAATCCACCTGCCTCTGCCTCCCAAGTGCTGGGATTAAAGGCACGCACCACCACTTTCCAGCGCACTGGCTGCTCTTAAAGAGGACCCAAAACTGAATGTCAGAACCCACATGGCAGTTCACAACCACCTATAACTCCAGTTCCAGGGAATCAAACGCCCCCTTCTAACCTCCACAGTCTCCTGTCAGCTCTTAAACATATGGATGAGCACACACTCATGAACAATTAATTAAAAATAAATAAAAATTAAAAACAATTAAAAATAAAGTATACTGTAATCAACTACTTCAATTCATTCTACAAACTGTATATTTCGTATATGAGCTAGTGTGTGCGTATGTGTGTAAAAGTGTATCTCAAGCCAGTATGTTTTATTTGAAATACAAGCATCTAATACTAGTGGAGTATATGATATTAAACATGTATTACATCGAATTACATAGAATTATAATTTTAAATTCCTGTTTTAATTAAGTCAGAGTTGCCCGTTTTATACATGATTTTTTCAACCACAACATTATTTACTTCTCCTAATTTTACCATGTATAACAATTACACCATCTTTCCATTGAATGCTTCTCATAATATACTACACGTCAGGTAAATTAAAGACAGTACATATCTTGGTCGTTAGTATATCCCACCTCTCTGAAAAGTACCTGAATCACAGTATACACTCAGTAAACATTTGTGAAATGAGAAAACACAGACACTCTAGATATCACCACTGTCTTAATTGTGCATGGTGTGAACCCACTGTTTCAAGGTTATTTATAAAATATCTATTGGGCACATAGCAAACAAGATGTCTATGTCTGATATGGGTCTCTACCCAAAAGCAGGTTTCATGTGCCCAGAATGGTTCTGCACATATTTGTACTGCTTTTTGTGTTGCATTTTCCCTGAACACTCTAGACACTGTTGGCCTAAACTGATTTTTAAAACGAGTTTTAGAAGCTATAGTTTGGAGATAGTTCAAGTTGGTCCCCCAAAGGTTCATGTACTAGAGATTTGGTCCTAGTGGGGTAATGCTGAGACAGTGGAACCTTTAAGGGGTGAGGCTTGTTAATATTCAGACTTTAGATGTTGGAAGGTTGTCATGTCATGGGAAGAGACATTCTCAGAAGGATTAATACAATTCTCATCAGGACCCTGGATAATTCCCCAGAGTATGAGTTGTTATAAAAGAGCAAACCTGGGACCTGGAACCTTTCAGCTTCCCGTCAGTACCACATGATTGCTTCTGGGCCCATTCCTATGAAGAAAGGAAGGATTTCTCATTAAAAATCTCCTTTTAGAGCTGAAGAAAAACAATATCAACCAACCAGACCTACCCCCCCCCCAGAGCTCCCAGGGACTAAACCACCAACCAAAGAGTACACATGGAGAGACCCATGGCTCTAGCTGCATAGGTAGCAGAGGATGGCATTGTCTGGCACCAATAGGAGGAGAGGCCCTTGGTTCTATGAAGGCTTGATGACCCCATGTAGGGGAATGCCAGGGCAGGAAGGCCGGAGTGGTTGGGTTGTCAGGGATGGGGGAACACCCTCATAGAAGCAGGGGGGGAGGGGATAGGGGGTTACAGAGGGAAAACCAGGAAAGGGGGTAACATTTGAAAAGTAAATACTTAAAATATCAAATAAAAAAATAAAATAAAATCTCCTTTTATCCATTCCTAACTAACCAATGTTTCCAGTCTTCTGAGTCAGGGATTTAGCAAGGCCTGGTGATTGTGATGTCCAAAGTGTCACTAAACAAATTATTGCTAGAAATCACTACTAGATCAATGAAACAGATTCTGGGATCTAGACAGCCAAGCATATCACCTCTGCTTCTCAGACAGAGTGTATCTAGAGATGTGATTGACTATGCAACCAGAAAGCTATGAAACACTCAGTCCAGACTGGGGCTCAGCCCTGGCTTCCTATGAAAGAGATTTCCCTGCAGAGAGAAAAACACAGAAGCTCTGGAAGTACACCTTGGAATTAACCCTCCAAGTAAGATGGTAGCTGTCTAGCAGGACACTGTGCTCGGAGGCACACGGATGGGAAAGACCTGGGCTGAAGAGGTAGCTCCAAATGGGTTAAAACTCCAGCATTTAAAAGTGAGTTTTGGGGCTGGAGAGATGGCTCAGCGGTTAAGAGCACTGACTGCTCTTCCAGAGGTCATGAGTTCAATTCCCAGCAACCACATGGTGGCTCACAACCATCTGTAATGGGATCTGATGCCCTCTTCTGGTGGGTCTGAAGACAGCTGCAGTGTATTCCTCATATATATAAAATAAATAAATAAAATCTTAAAAAAAAAAAAAAAGACTTTAAAAGTGAGTTTTGAAAGTCAGAAGAAAAGCCTAAAGATTCCCACGTTAGGCAGCTTGAGTATCATGCCAAAATACCATGGATTTTTTTTTTCCTTAAGTGCAATAAGGAGCTGAAGAAAAAGTGATAGGAAAGAAATGTTCAGACTTTACAATTTAGTTATGATCCCTAGCCAATGATGAGGGATAGGGGGCAGTAAGGTCCCGCAAGAATTTTATCACTGTTATTGCTGACTTAGAGACTAACAGTCTACAGAGACCTAAATCATTAAATAACTTAAGCTTCTGTGACATCAGGGCAATGGGGCTTAGCATGAAGGCTCTGCCTGTTAAGGAGCATTTGAAGACTGTGGGGACATCTTTCTCCAGGTGTGATCACCACAGGGAATGTAAGCCAGGGTAAAGGCAGGCATCTCCCATTCTCCTTGACCCCTGACTCGGCCTTGCTATCAGTGCAAGCCACCACTACCTCAGTGTGTAACTCTACTGAAAGGTTGTATAAGGAGCCATCATATTGTGCACAGGAAAATTTAGGCGGCTTAGATACGTCCTATTCAGAACCATTGAATAATTAATTAAATTTGTATGTTAGTTTATTTCTAGTATTATAGGCTCTCTAACAACATGTTTACGTCAAAGTAGTATTCAGTAGAATCATTTCAAGAGCAAAAAATCAAATTGTATATGGATATATATATACATATATATGATAGATAATAGATAGATAGATAGATAGATAGATAGATAGGTAGATAGATAGATAGATGTAAAACTTATTTGAAACTACTATTAAATTAGCAGAAAGAAGAGAAGCTAAGAGAAAAAGTCACGTTGGATTTAGTTAGCAAAATTTGCTTTATAAATTTTCATCCTGCTTCTTTTTAACTAATTGGGGCGCAACCATACACACAGTTCATGGTGTAGCAATTATTCAATGATTTATTATTTGGGGGTAGCCTGTTGCTTTTAAAATCTTATTCTTCCCCTGACTAACAAGCTTTTCTGCCCAACGTTGAAGAAGGCAGTTCTGTGACTACTCACTTTCCCCGGTCAACCTTGAATCCTCATGTCATATGGAGGGAGACTATCTCCAGGGCCTTCCAATGTACCGGAGAAGGAATGCTGACCAGCCTGTTCATGTAGAATACGTGTTTTTATGGCATTTCAAGATTGCCCTGTCCAAAGGCATAGGAAGTCAGTTTGACTCATCCTGAGGATACCCATACCCTTGTGTGCGTTTCACTTCTTCACCTGAACTGCAACCCTGCTAATTTGTTTGGGGTCTCTTACTCTTATCTTAATAATGAGTATCTCCTTTTATATAAAATGCATAAGAATGTTCTGTGGTTACATGTCTTCCCTGGTTTCCATCTACATCCCTACCCATGTTTCTGTTCTTGTATGGAATGGCTTCTGATCGTATTATCTTTCTCACACCTTGTTATGAAAAGTACAAGCCAGGGCTGGGGACGTAGCTCAGTTTGTGAAGTGGTTGTCTAACATAAACAAAGCCCTGGGTTCTCTCCCAAGCATCTCATATATGAGGCATAGCATAGCGTATGCCTGTAATTCCAGCAATAGGGCGACGGAAGCAGAATGGCCAGGTTCAAGGTCACCCTTAACTAATGAGTTTGAAATGAGCGTGCGCCACATGAGATCTCGTCTCGGGAGGAAAAAAAAAGAGAGACATACATAACTGTCAAGTCAAGCATCTGACTCATTCATTGAAAACTTGTTCCTGTGATTGTCCCATGTAACACTGTGCATTTAGTGAAGCAAGCATAAATAAATTGACGATCCAGTACTTGTTCATAGTTCTCTAATACGTAAGTATTGATCCAATGAGATTGAAAGCTACAGCAGAATTGCTGAAATTCTCAGCAAAGTATACCTGTCGCTCTCATACGAACTCTCAACAGCTTTATAAATTTCAAAAGTGGCTGCAAAGATACTGTAAAGGTCGTATTCATTTAGAGCCATGACTTGCGTAAGGTGGGTGAGTAATGTCTGTGGTAAAACAAGAGAAAAGTCCCAGTGATCCAGTCCAGGAAGACCGAGAACAAAAATGACAGTGGCATTTGGCGGCTGGTGCTGTCTTACATATGGAATCTTAATGTGATCTCTTTCATATAATATTTAAGATTATTGCCCTTGAACACATTGACCCCAAGATAAGTAAGCTGTTTGGTTCTGTCATGCAAAATACTTAACCCAATGAAATGTCAAATGAGGCTATCTTCAGCAAAAGTTCATTTTGTGGTGTAAGCCCTTTAGTCAAGGAAGGGCTCCATCCTCCAACCTCCCAGGACCAAACCAAAACCATAAGGTGATGGGCAAAGGTAACCATAGAAACGTCACAGAGAGCTGTGATTCTCCCATTCAACACTGACCTACGTCTTGGTAGGCAGTGTGATGTCTATGCATAGGACACTTAAACAGAAAGAACGTCCAAGAATTAGGTCATCTATTGTCACTAGCCTCCATTCGACAAGGTGACAAGTCTTTCTCTCTCCCATCTCCAACTTCCTCATCTGTTCTCATTTAGCCTTGCTGATCAAAAATCAGAGGGGAGAAAAAAAAAAAGACAAGAATATAAGCAGAGACGTGTGCTTAGAGGAGCCTGAGGACGCTTTATGAAATGGTGACTGTTTTAAATATACTCAGAAAAGAAATTAGGAAAAGACAGAGTCACAAAGTTAGAGGCGGGATGGGGGGGGGGGCCTCTAACAAAAGCAGCTCATAGTCTTGTACACTTTGTGCCAATGGTAAAATGGAGTTATGCTTCCACTTCCCACCTCAGAACATGTTAGACAGTTACTATACCGAGTATTCAGTAAGGAGGGTTTGTGAAAGAAATCTACAGCCCTGTGGGAGTTTTCCCATCTTAACTGCACGCTACAGTACTATAAACCCATTAATGGTTTTGTCTCTCACTGAAGCATCTCGAACAAAAAACGGAATTTTCTAATTGACTCACTGGGGACTCCAGATAACCTGTTCTTGTTCTGTCATCTGAAGGTAACTGAACGAGAGATGTGGGCTTAATTGATAATGGGGGGGGTGTGTGTGTAGGATTTACTTATTTATTATTTGCACTCCCCCTAGGAATTTAACCTCCCACAAAACCCGGCATGTGTGATGCTATTATGTTTTTAAAACACCTGGGACAACGTCTGACGCTGCTGTGTTAGGGACAGCCATTGTTAATTTTCTTTACTGTCTTTCCTTTTTGTTGTTGTTGTTGTCGTCGTTTTCATGGACAGCATGCTGCAGAACAACCAGCTGAGACAGGTTCCGGAAGAAGCGCTGCAGAACTTGAGAAGCCTTCAATCGCTGTAAGTACAGCTGGAACCACAAATCCTGAATCTCTATTTGAGAAGGAAACATCCTGTTCTATCCATGAGCTGGTGGGGTGGTGTGGACTTGAAGTCATAGCCCTAGAGTTTGGGGGTTCCAGGCAGTGTAGTTAAATATCTGTAATTAATTAATTACGTCTTCAGCCAAAAGCTTCCTCTATGTTGCTGTCTTGGGAGTAAACATTGACTCATGTAACCCTGTCCACATGCCCATTAATATTTTTTTTCTGAATTCAAATGAAAAAATGATGCTTCTCTTTTACCTAGAAAACTGGAATGGACAATCCGATATCTTGGTTCTTCCATTTGTTTCGTCTTTAAACTGTCTGAGCTTCTGTGCAATCCAACTCTACTTGGCAAAATAAATACAAGTTGCTTTAAACTCTGCACTACCTGTCAAGGACCCTCGAATTAGGAAATCAAGATCTACCACGTGTCCTGATGCATGGCTACTGCATAAACCACGAGCTGCCCATCACTGCACACATAATCACAAACAGTCCCACAGTGCTCATATACGTAAACTCAGAGACCTCACACAGACACAGACACACGCACGCACGCACGCACGCACGCACGCACGCACGCGAACGCACCTACAACAATGGTGATGATGTCTTTTGCTCGGAACATACCTTTCCATCAGAAGTTTCCCTCCCAGCACCCACATAAACAAATAAGTAATTCCTCACATGAGGAACATTCCTACCGGCTAGATGTTTGGGAGCTTGGGTTGGAAGTAATTGCTCTCAGTCACTACTTGGCAAGTTTCTGGCACAACTGCTGTGTGAGTAAACCGTCTTCAATACGTTGCATGATTTCTGATACACATGTGTGTCCAGTGCTCTCTAATTATACTTACACCGGAGGTCCTCATCTGTCAAACAAAGCGCTGCTTTCTGGTCCCAACTGATGAGGGAGAGATAAAGGCATGAACAAAGCGAGCGAGCGAGTACTGCAGACTCTAGCCGGAAGATCTCCGTAAGGAGTCCATCAGTTAATAATTACATAGGGTTTGCTTGATGCTTTCGGCTGAGGTAACGGGAGAAGGGGGGGGGGGGTTGTGAGATCTGAAGATGAGACCTTCCTTCTTTGATCTTTCTTTTTAATGAAAGAAAATCTGTGCTCGAGGTCGTTTCAAGCTTTTTATTCTAGCCAAACAAAGTGACTTCCTAGGTTTTCAGCAGCCTATAGATAAACAGTCGCACAAGGGGCCCTTTGTGGCTGGGGATGGATGGGGCTGTTGCATTTCCAACCACTCCTTAATGACAGGACAGTGTCACTCCACTTTTGTTGAGCTAGCTTTACCTGAAGGAAGCAAGCAGAGGGCAGCCAACTGCCTCCAGTAGGTCCGTAGGGGGACGGGGATCTAGTGGCTAAATGGAAATTGAGATACTGACACTGCCCAATAGGAACTTTAAACAGCTGCAAAGCAGTCAGTAGATACTTAGGATAAGCGTTTGTAACTAAAATCCCCTACTGGCTGAAAGATCACAAACAGAAGGGAACTCTTTGAGAAAGAGAAAACCATGAGCCTTTTCTTCACTTCAACTGGGCGGTGACTCTCTGATAAAGGTGTTCAGATTTAGTTTCGGACCGGCTAGATATTTACTGTTCACCAGGTGTCTCTCGGTTTCTGGTTCACAAAGGAATTTCTTTCTGAAACCTTATAAATACATGAGTACATGTTCCCTTTGAAAAGAGTCAAGGGTTAATTTTCTGGGATGACATCACATCCGAAGCGAAGCGTCTAGACAGGTTCTCAGCCCCTGGCGCACAGTGCTTTGTGTCAGCTGGGTTATGTGGTAAATGGTGACAAGGTCCCTTTGCCCAGAGCTCAGTCAGCATGAGCTGTGAGGCAAGGGCAGTGTATGCTGGTGTGCTTCTCTTTGTCACTGATCGTTTGTGCTGCTTTGGTGCGACAAATAGGATCCGTTCACAAAAGATTCACACGCACACAACTTAACCACCAACTCCACAGACCATGCATCAACTGAAGGTGCCCCGGGCCCTAGTGTAGAGGTCTCCACTCAAGCAAACTCCACTTAAGTTGTGTTGTTCTCTTGTGCTGAACGTGATAATGTGTTGTTCTCTTGTGCTGAACGTGGTAAATTGTCTTTCTCGTTCTTCTATTAAACAACTCCGAAGTGAGAAATCTTATCCAGACTATCCACCTGGAATGCAAGGACATTCGCTTTGTGCCGCTTCGGTATCAATAAGAGCAGGGGTCAGGGGTGAGATTCCATCTTCTCCACTGTGCCAGTGCTAGGAAGTCTCACTACCAAGTCACAACCTCGTCACAACCTCTTCTTGACCCCGTTAATATATGGCGATTCCGTTATCCTACTGTCTTCAATTAACGCCCATTTTCCCAATTTCCCCCCGCCACACACACACACACACACACACACACACACACACGCGAGTGGGGGGGGGAGAGAGAGAGAGAGAGAGAGAGAGAGAGAGAGAGAGAGAGAGAGAGAG